AGGGAGTCTTGAGGACCCACTAGCGTGGTCTCGACTCTTGACGCTTCGCGCCCCGCCAGTCCATTCAGAAACGATGCCCAGGCGAATTGCCTCGATCAGGGACATGTAGGAAGGAGGGGGACAGCCGTCAAACCGAAGTTTAGGATCAGCCTGCGCAGGCCCAAGAGCCAACCACAGACACCTTCTCGGATCTTTCGACACGGGAACCTCTTGGCAGCTTACGGTCATCTTTGGGCCCTCTTCGGGCCACTTTGGGGGCCTTCGGGGCTATTTTGGGGCCCTCTCGAGGTTCTTTGGGGCCCTCTTGCCGGCCTCGGGTATGGGGCCCTCTTGGGGCCACCTTGGAGGCCATCGATCAATGAAGGGGGGTGCCTCATTAGGTCCCCCCCCGCCGAAGCCCTCAAACCGTCTCTTCGGGCGCTCTCGGGCGCTCTTTGTGCCGTCTGGGCCCCTCTTGGGGCTCTCTCGAACAACCTTGGAGCCATCTTGAGGCTTCAGAAATCAGTCGGAAGCAAAAAGGCGAGACTGGCAACACACAATGACTTTCATGATGCTGTTGAGTGGTTTTGGGATCTTGGGGGCGTTCTTTGGAGGCTCCGAAGCCACTTGGAGCCATCATGGGGCGGTTTTGGGCCTGTTGGATGCATGTTGGAGGATATCTTGAGCCATCCTGAGCTGCGAACCTGTCGACGCTTTCGAGGGCTGCTAGGGGTCCAGCGGGGTGACGTCTTACGCATCATGAAATAGACCTCGCCATCCCTGGGGGAGCTGCGAACTGCGAAACTGTCGACACTTTCGAGGGCCACTGAGAGTCCAGCGGAGTGAAGTCTTATGCAAACCAAAATTAGACATCGCCATCGCTGGGGGGGTGCGAATTGCGAAACCGTCGTCATTTCCGAGGGCTGTTGGGAGGGTCCAGCGGAGTGACGTCGTACGCAAGCATGCATTCGACCTCGCCATCCCTGGGGAGCTGCGAACTGCACAGTTGTCGCCACGTTCGAGGGCTGCTGGAGGGTCCAGCGGAGCGACGTCTTACCCGATTCGACCTCGCAATACTTGGGGGGGCTGAGAACTTCGAACCTGTCGACACTTTCGAGTGCTGCTGGGGGTCCAGCGGAGTGACGTCTTACGCAAACCTGAATTCGACCTCGCCATCCCTGTGGGGGCTGCGAACAGCGAAACCGTTGACAATTTTGATGGCTGCTGTGGGGTCCAGCGCAGTGACGTCTTACGCATACCAAAATTCAGCCTCGCCATCCTTGGGGGGCTGCGAACTGCGAAATGGTTGACTCTTCGCGCGAATCCCCACCAGCCCATCCAGAAACGATGCCCAGAGGAATTGCCTCGATCAGGGAAGTGTGCAGCATACAGAGGAAGCCATTCTGAGACATCTTAGGATATCTTGAGCCATCTTGGGGGTCATCTTGGGCTTTCCCAGGCGCACTTGGAGTCATCTTAATCAGTGCCCCCCCCCCCCCCAGAGGCCAACATGTGGCTAAATCCTTCGTGAAATCAGTGATTTGGCATTCTCGCCGAGGCCTCTTGGAACATCTTGGGTGCCTCTGGTGGGTCTCTTGGGGCCTCTTGGGGTCTCTTGGGAGCCTCCTGGGGGTATCCTGGGGGCCTCCTTCCTGGCAACCTCTTGGGGCCCTCTTGGGGCACCCTTGGGAGCCTTGGGGGCCATCTTTGGGCCATCTTGGGTGAGATCTATCACAGGAGGGGAGGTTACTAATTACAGCCCCCCTCCCCAGGAGGCCAACATGGGGCCGAAGCCCTGGTAAAACTGATGATTTTGGCTTCCTCGCCGAGGCCGTTTTGGACGCTCCGACGACTCGCGAGACAGACCCCTTTGTCCAGGTCCAGGGGAGGGGGTAGGGGGAGGGGTACACCCCTCCCCAAATGGGAATAAGGAGGGGTGGAAGAGGAAACTCCCTAAACCACCCACGCCCAGAGGGCTGGTGGGATTGTCGACACGTTCGAGGGCTGCTGGGGTCCAGCGGAGTGACGCCCTACCGCAAACTCAGATTCGACTTCGCCATCCTTGGGGGCTGCGACCTGCGACACTGTCGCCAATTTCGAGGGCTACTGGGGGGTCTGCTGGGTGATGTCTCACGCAAGCCAAAATTTGACCTCGCCATCTCTGGGGAGCTGCGGATTGCGAAATGGTCGACGCGTTCGAGGGCTGCTGGGATGGTCCAGCGGAGTGGCGTCTTCTCGCATATTCAGATTCGACCTCGCAACACCTGGGGGCTGCGAACTGCGAAATTGTCGTCACTTCCGAAGGTTGTTGGGGGTCCAGCGGAGTGACGCCTTATCGCAGACTCATATTAGATCTCGCCATCCCTGGGAGGCTGCGAACTACGAAGCTGTTGCCACTTTCGAGGGCTACTAGGGGTCCAGCGGAGTGGCGTCTTCCGCAGACTCCGATTGGACCTCGCCATCTTGGGTGGGCTGCGAATTGCGAAACTGCCGCCATTCTCGAGGGGTGCTCGGGGTTCCAGCGGAGTGGAATTTTACACATATTCAGGTTCGACCTCGCCATCCCTTGGGGGGCTTCGAACTGCGACACGGTCGCCACTCGAGGGCTGCTGGGGGCTCCAGCGGAGCAACATCTTACGAAGACTCATATTCTACTTCGCCCTCCTTGGGAGGGCTGCGCACTGCGAACCTGTCGCCACTTTCAACAAGAGCTGCTCGGGTGTCCAGCGGAGTGACGTCTTACCGCAAACTCAGATTAGACCTCGCTATCCCTGGGGTGGGCTGCGACCTGCGAAACTGTCGTCACTTCCAAGGGTTGCTCGGGGGTCCAGCGAAGTGATGTCTTACGCATACTCAGTTCTGACCTCGCCATCCTTGGGGGACTGCGAACTGCGAGTCAGTCGACCGTTTCGAGGGCTGCTGGGGGGTCCAGCGGAGTGACGTCATACGCAGGCTTAGATTAGACCTCGCCATCCCTTCGGGGTTGCGAACTGCGGAGGTGTCGCCACTTTGGGGGGCCTGGGTGAGCGGAATGGCATCTTACGCAGACCTAATTTGGCCCTCGCCATCCCTGGGGAGGCTGCGAGCTGCGAATCTGTTGACTCTTTCGAGGGCTGCTGAGAGGGTCCAGCGGAGTGACGCCCTGCCGCAGACTCAGATTGGGCCTCGCCATCCTTGGGGGGCTGCGAGCTGCGAAGCTGATGCCACTTTCGAAGGTTGTTTGGGGTCCAGCGGAGTGACACTTTTTCGCAGATTCAGGTTAGACCTCGCCATCTTTGCGGGGCTGCGAACTGCGGAGGTGTCGCCACTTTTATGAAAGCTGCTGGGGGTCCAGCGGAGTGACGTCATACGGCGATTCAGATTTAACCTCGCCATCCTTTGTAGGCTGCGAACTGCGTAACCGTTGCCAATTTCGATCGCTGCTAGGGGGTCTAGCGGAATGACGTCCTGCGCAGATCCAGATTAGATTTCGCCATCTTTGGTGGGCTGCGAATTGTGAAACCGTCGTTACTTTCGAGGGCGGCTTGGGAGTCCAGTGGAGTGATGTCCTGCGGAGACTTAGATTAGTCCTCGCCATCTTTGGGGGGGGGGCTGCGAACTGCGAAACGGTCGCCAATCTCGAGGACCGCTGGGGGCCCAACGGAGCAACGTCTTAAGGAGTCTCAGCGCCTCGACTTCTCGAAGTGCCCCCCGCCTGTCCCCGGCTCCTCCCCGTGGTGGGCGAGGGTCCCGTGGGTCGTGCCACGGGCGGACGTCCCATGTAGTTCGCGCAACAAATGACGGTTCTCACGTTGTCATCATCCATCTCGCACTGGTTATGCATCCGCTCGAATTCAACGACCGCTTGACTGTGCTCTCTAACTGACATCGGACTAACGTGGACTCATTGCATTGGTTGTCATCGGTCATTGCCATTGTTGCTTCAGGGGGAAACAGGTGGGTCATTTACCCACTGGTCGTTAAGAAGTCGGTATTGTTGGATTCCCAGGTTCCAATCTACTTTGGGCGCCTTCCTACTCCAATGATCGAGTGGCTTCACCTTTTCCGTCCTCCTTGGGGGGCGGGCGGAAACCCAATCTACTTTCAACGCCTTCCTGCTTCATGTTTCTACCGATTTCTTCCGACCGACAGATAATCCGGTCACTTGATGCAAATGGGTTGGATACGTCACGGGTAATTGACAGGTGTGGTGGGCCTGCACACGCCAGGCAATATGCTGGCACCCCCGCCGTCCCTGTCAAACATCAATGTACAGTGGTCGCAGGGCGCCTGGACATGATCCAGATCTTGCCGCAGCGTGCACAGTGTATTGCTTTCTGACATGGGGTGGTGTGTGTGTGTGTGTTGGCGTTGGCCCTGGCTAGGGGTCGGTAGGGTGGGGGAGGGGTGCGTGTTCAGAAGGAACAGTGGTAGGCCCCTCCCCGCAGGGGAAGAATGGTGGTCGCAGGCGCAAGAACTCGTCACGCGCGTGGTTTTTTATCCTTGCTGGCCCGAGGGGGGCCCTGCCGGCCCCCACTGGGCCCCCTCCCTCTCGGCCCCCTCCCTGGCCCTGTGGGCGGCCGGCCGGCCGTGGGGCGAGAAAAAAGTCGCCGAGCTCCAGACGGAGTTTGTCGAGACCAACCCGCAGAGGATCCTGAGCACCACCCGCGACTGCGGGGTCTCCTTTGCGACGGCTCCGCGGCCGTGAAAATCTCGTACGGTGCCGCCTGCCAGGGCCCCTCCCGCCTCTCCGGGGGCTTGCCCGCACGAGAGTTTTGGGGGGCCCGGCCGGCCTCGTGCCTGTGGAGCTGGCACCTTCCTGGCGCTCCGGGAGCTTCTGGTGAGAAGCGGGCGCATTGAAAGCCAGGGCGACTTGGGGTGGTAGCTGAGTCGACCAGAATTTGCAGTCGAGCTCCACAGTGACGTCGAGTTTCGATGTCAGCAACGGCTGAGCTGAGCTTTCCCTGAAATCCAACGGCTCCTGTTGGCGTGCCACCTCGGGCCCCTTTACATAAACAGTCTCAGAGGCTCTGACACATGTGATGGAGGGCGTACTGGACTTGCAGCCCGTGATGACTCTCGAGGAGGAGCTCGGAGGACTCAAGATGACGCTTCCGCAGCACGGCGTGGCCCATGGCCTTTCTGGCTCCTTTGCTTGCGCTACTTCTCTGTTTGCTCTCTCGTAATCTGCACTGCTTTTTGGACCTCGGGCCAGCAACTCAGGAGGGGACAACACACACAGACACAATTCATCGTCGACCCCCAGGAAAATGTGGGAACTGGGGGAAGACGAGAACCCAGAAAAAACGGGAAACCATGCGGCATCCTGGGAACTGTGTGTATTGATTTGTGTGTGTGTGTGTGTGCGTGTGTGCCTGGGGCCCCTTCTCTCAGGAGCTGAACGAGTTCCACGCGCACCACAAGGCCTGCCGGCACGGCCAGAAAGGTGGGGGGGCCCCGGATCGGCGGCGCGCCCGGGTGGCAGCGAGAGGGGGCCGGACCCCGCCGACGGGCGGCGGGGCTCCTCTCGGAAGCCCTCCTGGCCTCCTGTGGGGCGCCGCCCGCGCCCTCGGAGGGGGGCCTCTCGGGAAGCTCGCCCGACGGCCCGATGCCCTCCGAGCCCTCCCCGGAGAGCCTTCTCCAGGGGAGCGGACGCTGACGTAAACTTAAGAGCTCGGAGGCCCGCGTAGATTTCTCGGATCGGCGCTGGATGCCCCTCCCTGGCGCGCCAGGGGCGCGCCAGGAGCGGCGCCGGAGGCGCCGCCAGGGGGCTCCAGCTCGGATCCGAGAAATCCGCGCGGACCTCAGAGTTTGCATGCTTATGTCAAGCTTCGTTCCCCCACTCTCCGAGGCGCCTTCTCGGGCCCCCTCCTCCCCTTCCCGTGCTATGTCTCGCAGTGTTTCGCACGCGTGCGCTTGGGCAGGTGCCTCGGCGCCTCCTCCGCCGCGCCTCCATGTGGCGCCACGTCCGCGGAGCCGTAGCCGTAGCCGTAGCCGTAAGTCGGGCATGTCCAGTTACAGCAGGAGTATTCAAGAATAGTAAAAAAATTGTCGGTGGATGATCTTTCAACTATTTTGAGATGTTTTTTGATTTTCCTCCAAAATCCGCCTGAAGGGGAACATTCCCGACCTGACCGTAGCCATGGTTCCGAGCCTTGTGAGCAGGCCCGCCTCCTCTTTATTCCCCTCCCCCCCTTGACTCGCCGCTGAAAGGGAGGATCGGGGGCCAGGCTGGCCTCCCCCCTCCCCTGAGATCCTGGCGTTGCAATTTTTGCACAACAGGCGTTTTCGCTCAATTTCGGGCCCCAGGACCATCACATATCGATCTGGCTCGGAAAGTGTCGCAGAAAGATGGGGTCCAGTGCTTTGGTCGTGATTTTTTGCGATGTTGCAATTTTTTCGCAACGTCGGATCTCAGGGTCCCCTGTTCCCTCCGCTCTGGCTCTCCCCTCTCCTCAGGGGCGCCCTCGAGTGCGCGAAGCTCTTCTCGCTTCGCGCCTCGCGGTTTGGCTCCGATTCCTCTTCGATCTTTTGGCAGCACATCATGGGAGCCTCGTGTACCCTGGTAAGTCTGTCTTGAGAGTGCATGAGCGTCAACTAGCGTCTGGTAATCGATGAGATAGTTCCGACTTAGCGTCGATTAGTGTCGATGAGCGTCGATTTAGCGTCGACTAGCGCCGATTTAGCGTCGATTAGCGTCGATGAGCGTCGATTCGCAAGAGCCACATCTTGTACGGAGGTTCCCATAAGTTGCCGCATAATCATCCTCCTCTTCTCCCTTGAGGGGCGGGGCGAGAGCGCGAAGTGATTCGCGCTTCGCGTTCCGCGCAGCGCGAAGCGCGAAGTTGGGCGCCCTTGCTCCTCTGCAACTGCGCCACCTGAGTACTACTCTCTGCCCTCTCGTGGCAATGGCAAGCGGCGCCCGGGTTCTCTCTCGCGTTTTTTTTGTTTTTGTTGTTGGGGGGAGGGATTTTTACACGCAGGATTCTATGATTCCGTGTTTTGCATGTTCGTGTTTGTTTCGTGCGGAGCGTCTTGGGTCCTCATGGTGCTCCCGCTGCAGCGTTGGCAACATTTCAGGATCGGTGCTTTGCTCCCGTCGTTTTAGAAAGGAGCTCTCACCCAGGCCCTGACCATACTTATGGGTCCTCTGGATTCAACGAAGTGGGAAGGGAAGGGCGAGAGGGGTAAGATGTCAGCTGTGCCCCGAGCACACATAGCTTGGCTCCCTCCCCTCTCCCCTCGGTCTCATCTCTCCTCCGACCGCTTGCTGCTCTCCCGCGGTGCGGTCTTTGATTTTTGTGTTGCGTCCTCACATCCACGGCCTCTTCCAGTCCAGACTCGACAGTGAGAACTCCAGACGTGCGGGAGCCAGTCCGGCTCTTTGAGCTGCCCGCAGGCACTCGGGTCCTCGCACTTCGCCCTCCTCCCGTCTAACGATTTCGAGACCCTGAACGACTACATCAAGTACCTGCACGACGAGATTCAGATAGCCAGCGCTGACGTTCAAGTCAACGGTGGTGCCCAATTTCGGAGGATGATGAATGAGGTTGAGATTTTCCTCAGGTTTTCGGAGATAAACGTCGAAACTAAGAAGCGAGACGTAATCCAAGCCCGTGGCGTCTCCATGAGCTGCTTGACTTGGAGGGATGTCGTGGTGAAGTTGTTAAGCAATGAGGCGCACTTGCCGTTGCAGCGTCGTGTTCAGTATGTCGGGGAGCCGACGGGACAAATGCTCTCTTGTGGCCCATCCTCCAACTGGGTGATGCTGGTGGGCGGAGGGGGTGGGTGCGAGGGTAGGGAAGGGGATCTGAGAGCATTCCGCAGGTATCGTAAACATACTTCCCCAGGAGCGGATCAAGTGGTTCTTCGAGCAGCAGAAAGAGGCGGTTCTGGCATTCATGGACAAGTTGGAGGGCACGCCTTCTGCTAATCTTTATTCTCCGCTGTACCCGAAGCACGCCAAGCTCATAAAGCAGAACTCGATGATCAAGCAGCTGGTCTTCAAGACGTACGACAGTGCGTGCCAGCGTCAGCTGGGCCAGTTCGTGGAGCTTTTCGACAATATGCTCACCTCGACCTTCTCCAACCCCTGGGTGTTCCTGAAGAGCGCGACGGCCGGCCCGATGGAGGGCGAGCTGGACGACTGCCCAGTGCCCGACTTCAACGACACGAAGGTGGCCCCAGTGCAGTCACAGGGAGGTCTTCTGGGGATCGCTCCTCCTCCACCTCCTTCCTCCTTCCTCTTCGTCCCTCCCTCCACCCGCTTCCTTCCTTCCTCCTCCCCCTCTTCCCCCCCTCTGACCTCGTCAGTCAGTAGTCCCATTCCCATTCACTCCTCTCCTCTTTCCTCCCTTTCCTCTTCCTCCATCCCTTTACCTCATACATGTTGGCCAGCGTGGACCCCAGACAGTGACTTTCTTGCGGTATATGCGGTGCAATCTGGGTAGTACAATCAATGTGGTGCAATCTATGTGGTGCAGTCCACTCTGCTGAACTTGAAGTCGTCATCTCCACTGCTCGCGCAAACATCCCACCCACCCACCCGCAACTTGGTTTGCAAAACCTCTTAAGACCGACTACGACGACTCCGACGACAACGGCTAGGACGACGACGACGACGTCTCCGACGACTTCGACGACGACAACGACGCCGACGACGACGAAGACGACGACGACGACGACGCCAACGAAGGCGACGACGAGGGAGGAGGAAGGACGACGACGGCGACAACGACGACAACGACGACAACGACGAGGGAGGAGGGAGGACGGCGACGACGCGAACGACGACGAAGGAGGAAGGACGGCGACGCCGACGACGACAACGACGAGGGAGGAGGGAAGACGACGACGACGACGACGACGGCGACGAAATAGGAGGGACGACGACGAGACGCCGACGACGGACGACGACGACGACGTGGGAGGAGGAAGAAGGACGACCACGGCGACAACGACGACGGAAACGACCACGACGCCAAAGAGGACGACGACGACGAACACGAGAAAAGACAGGACGACGTAGGCGACGACGACGACGACGACGCGGGAGGAGGGAGGACGGCGACGACGACAACGACGACGACGACGCAAGAGCGCGCGCGCACGCTTTTGTTGAAAATTCGTGTTGCGAAACCTTGGGTTTTTGTAGGTTTTTTGGACGCACGATTTTGGAATCCTTCCGAAACCGATGGGTTTTGAAGGTGTTCGGCATACGCCCGCGACGACGCGCGCGTCTGCACTTCGTCCCGTTTTTTGCAGAGGATTCTCGACGGCACACGCGCAAGGGCGTTCGACAGATTTCGACATGCGCGCGCGCGAAGCCCGATTGGTAGCATTTTGTGAAAATCTTGAAAAACCTAGGGTTTTCTTAAGACTTCGCAAGAGCTCGCGCGGAAGCTTTTTTAGCAAATCAGTGTTGCGAAACCATGTGTTTTTTGTATGTTTTTTGGAAACTCGATTGCGAAATCTTTCCGGCACCGAAGGTTCTTGAAGGATTTCGGCATGCGCGCGCGACGACGCGCGCGTGTGCACTTCGTCCCAGTTTTTTGCAAGGGATTCGTGACAAAATGTTATGTTAGAACAAGAAATGTCACCGCATAGTGTTTTTTACAAGGGAACCTCAGGGGGGGGAGCCCGGCCTGGCTGGGATGATATGATTTCATATTTAGGATAGACGAGTGTGCAGAATATATATATATATATATATATATAATATATATATATATATATATGAAATTATACTATCCCAGGGGGAACCGATGAGTCTGGGGGGGGGTAGAGTTTAATCTCTTTTTAGAAAGGAGAACCCATGCCGTGCAACCGACGTGGCGCAAAGCAACGCACAGCATAGCAACGCAACGCGGAGCAATTTAATGCAATCCAATGCAACGCAACGCAACGCAATGCAAAGCAACGCAGCGCCATGCAAAGCAATGCAAACCAATGCACAGCAATGCAGCGCAATGCAAACCAATGTGAAGCAATCCAAGGCACGGCATAGCAATGCAGTTCAATGCGCAGCAATGCAACGCAACGCAAAGCTATGCAAAGCAATGCAAGCCAATGCGCAGCAATGCAACGCAACGCAACGCAATGCACAGCAATGTACACCAATGCAAGGCAATGCACAACAACGCAAACCAATTCAGCGCAATGCAATGCAATGCGATCCAACACAATGCAAGCAACGCAGAGCAATGCCACGTAGTTCAAAGCACCGCAACGCAACGCACTGCACCGCAGTGCAAAGCAAGGCACATCAATGCAACACAATACAACGCAGAGCGCAGAAATGCAGAGCAATATAACGCAATGCGAATCAATACGACACAATGCAAACATCTGTAACGACACGCAGAGCAGTGTACACCAATGTAGCGCAACGGAACTCAATGCAAAGCCACGCAGCGCAGTGCAACGCACTGCAACGCAACACAACGAAATTCACATCAATGCAACACAATGCAGCGTAATGCCAAGCACTACAAAGCAAACCAAGGTAACGCAATGCAGCGCAATGCAAAGCAATGCACAGTGACGGAACGCAGTGGAACGCAATGCCAAGCAACGTAACGCAGTGCTGCGCAATGCAGAGCAATGCAGCGCACGGCATAGCACACTTGTGCACAGCAGTTCAATGCAATGCGATTGCAACGCAGTGCGATTGTTTTCATGCAGTGGCGCATCGCAATGCAACGTAACGCAAGGCAACGCAAAGTAATGCAGAACAGTGCAGAGCAATGCAACGCAAGGCAACGCGATGCGAAGCAGTGCAACGCAATGCAAAGCAGTGCAGAGCATTGCAAAGCAACGCAGCGCAATGCGACGCATTAGGCTGGACCGTGCCCCGGACCCCCCTCTCGGCGACTGCTTTACGCGTCCGCCCGCTGACCCCAAAAAAGTATCCCCACCAGCTCTGGCCCGGGTCGTCGTGTGTCCCGACTTCCTGGTGTTCCCGACGCTTTGCATAATTGCGCGCTGGCAGTACGAATCAGTTTCAGCTGCCCCTCCACTCGCCGGTCCGCCGCTGAGCTGCTGCGTGAGGGCGCAGTTCGCCGCTGTAGGTGTGGCCACCCTCCGTCGCTTTAGTTTAATTCGTCGCTGCGTGCCCCGCTTTGACTGGACTCGCCGCAGGCGCGCTCGCCCGCGGCCGCTGACTAAAAGTATCCCCACCAGCTTCTCCCGCACCTGGCCGCAGCCTGGCCTGGGATCCCTGGTGAGCGGGTTCCGTGACGACCGGTGACGGTCCCGGCACTGCGCCTGGCTTCGCCTCCCGCCCTTGGGGATCAGGCTCCACGGCGCTGTCAATACCTGGCACGATGCCCCTTGCTGGGGCGGGGCGCAGCGTGCCACCACACGGCCCTGGCCGTTTGTTGTAGCTGTTTTCACCCTGGCCTTCTCCCGAACCCGGCCACAGCCTGGCCTGGTATCCCTGGTGAGCTGGTCCCCTCTTCGTGGGTCACTTGGCTCACGCACGCCGCGCCGCTGGCACTTGGCCTGGGGTATTCTCAGCCTTCAGCTGCTTGCTGCGTCGCCCCTCTTGGCGCCGCCTGACCCCCCATGGCCACCGCCGCCCTGCCGCCGACCACAGCCTGGTTGCGGCTTCCAGGCTTTCGCCCTCTGTCCCTGGCGTCTGATTGTGTCCGTGCTGGCTTCTTTGAGTCTGGTGAGGTAACCCTGGCGTCCCGGTGACTTGCACGTCGACCAGCTCCAGCTAGCATGCTTGCATGTTCCTGGCCCCTAGTCCCCAGACGCTGCCACAGCCTGGCCGTGTTTGCAGCTGCCGCCTTGCAGTGGTGGGATGCACCTCCACGTGGATTGCTCATGAGTGGTTTAGCCTTCTTGTTCAACCGCTTGAGGTTGCCACTGTTGGCATGCGATACAGGTACGCTGGACTGCTTGCTCAGCCCCGCGCTATGCCGTGCTCTGCTCGGTGGCACGTTTACCTCTGGCGCGTGGCGCGACACGGTGCAATTCGTTTGCCTTCCTGGTGGTCTCGCCCCTGCGGTGGTTGCACTTCAGCCGCCTGGCACACCTGGCACCTCTTGCAGCTCTGCCTTCAGTTCCCGGCTTCGCCCGGCGTCCCTCGGCGGCAGCTCCGGCGGCCATTCGTGCGTGCGCTAGGTAATTAGGTTTCGCTCGTAGCCCGGGCTGACATCGGACGCCGCCTGCGCTGTCGCTTGCGGCTGCGACCCAAAACAAATCCTTACCAGCTGTCGCCTGTTTCCTTCCTCCCGGTGCGCAATTCGCTCGTAGCCCGTTGCTGCAACTTTGACGGCGTCCGGTACTTCCGGCGCGCTCGCGATCAAAAAAGTATCCCCACCAGCCCATCCATAAACGATGCCCATGAGAGCTGACGGCTGGACAGACAGGAAGACATGCATATTCAAACGGCGGGGAAAGCCAGCCTGGACGGCGTGTCGGGGCCATCTCAGGGCCCGCGTGGCGGAGGAGGCGGAGGAGGAGGAGGAGGAGGAGGAGGGGGAGGAGGAGGAGGAGGAGGAGGAGGAGGAGGAGGAAGGAGGAAGCATGAGGAGCAAGACGAGGACAAGGAGGACCAGGAGGACGAGGACTAAGAGAGTGACGGATGACGGATCTGTTTCGAGCGGCCTGCGGGCGAAAAAATCAATCGAGCCTCTCAAATAATGGGGGAGCTTCAAGTAGCGTCGGCCCATCGAGAGTGCCTAAAATGGCCTCTTGTACCCCTCTTGGAGCGCTCTTGGGGCGCTCTTGAGCGCTGGGCCGTCTTAGGGCTCGCTTGGGCCTCTCTTGGGGCTCCCTGTAGCCCTCTTGGAACCATCTTGAGGCCCCGAAAGGCCATCGACAGCACAGAGGCGAGACAACCAACTTCATGGATTTTCCCTAGCGTTTTGGTGGATTTTGGCTTTTTTTGTGGCCTCCTGGTCACTTTTGGAGCCTTCGTGGCCACTCGGAGCAGTCTCGCGGCGGTCTTGGGGCCCTCTTGAGGCGCTCTTGGGAGCCTTGGGATCTATCTTGGCGCTATTTTGGAGGAGATCGATCAAACACGGGGGGAAGTTCATTTTATCCCCCCCCCTCGGGAGTCCCATACATCGCCTCTTGGCCCCTCCTGGAGCGATCTTGGAGCGCTCTTGGGCGCTCTTGGAGCCGTCCTGGGCCTCTATTGGGCCTCTTTTGGGGTCCTCTGGGGCCA